GCCGGGGGGCAGGCCCCCGCGGCCAGGGCCGCCGCCCCCATTATGCCCCTCAGCCACTCATCCTCTCGGAGTCCCCGCGGAGATCCACCCTACCCCATCTACGGTTCCCAAAGCAACCCGAACCGGCCGGTTCTCGCCTGTCGCGCGCACTGATGACGTAGGAAGGTGTCGCTGCCCCTTACCAAGATGGTGGCCAGCGGCCCACTGCGCCTGCGCATTCTCCCTCGTTCCACTTCTGTCCTAGGAAGGGGACTACACTCTTTTTTCCCCCCAGAGACAGAGAGAGACATAGAGACAGAAAGCGAGAAATCACCACCCAGGGGGGATGGTCACAACGCAATCCCTTCTCCTCCATTCTCGGGATCTTGGGCACGCACACACACGTGCCACGCACACGCGCCCGGCGTGAGTTTTAAACCACCGGGTCCGGGTCGTGAAACGCGGTCGACTACGTGGGAGTCCAGCGACATAGCCATTATGCTAACTGCTGGTTCCCGGGGACTACACTCTCTAGTGTGAGACTAGCCACAGCTCTGGCAGCCCGGCCCTTCACCGTAAGCTTGTGGAGGGTAGACCTGTTAGACCTAATAGTGCCCTTAAGTGCCAGGAACTCCTGTACATGCATTTCACCTATTTATTCAAAATTCATGTGAGCAGGCCGAGGTAGGTGCATCTCAGGTGAAGGAAGTGAGGCACAGAAAGATACAGTAACTGGTCTGGTCTGAGCAGCAGTCGCTCAAGGGAACCACAGTACATTAGTAGTATTTCCTTTAAAATGGCGAAATACATTCTTCTTACTCCCAACAACCACCTCCTTTATCGGGTGCCCACTTGGTGACAGTCTGTTGGCACTGACCATGAGATTCCTGGTGACCACTTGGTTGGGTGGTGATACCGCCCCCCCCCCTTTATTCATTCAATATTTATGCAGCTTTCCTATGTGGAAAGACATCCCTTACAAATTTATCTAAATCCTAAGAACTGTATAGAAAGGTCTATTATCCTGGTTTACAGAGGATGCAACTGAGGCTCAGGAGGGTAAGTCCCTCGACGATATGTAAGTGGTGGAGACATAAACCAGGTGTCTGGCTCCCAGACCTCCAATCTGCACCTCTGTGTATCACTTCCAGAAAACATGAGGTGGCCCACTGTACTGGCCCATTGAGTCATCTGTCAGTCTCTTCCCTGCACACGCGCACACTGACTGCGAGCCCCATGAGCACAGTGGCTGCATCTCCCATGGTCATGGCCGAATCTTCAGTACCTGGACACACAGCCTGATACAAAGCAGGCATTTGGTAAATGTGTTTAAACCCCTAAACCACATACTAGGTCTTCTGCTAAGCACTAGAGACACTGGTACATAAATAAAAGGTGGCAATGGACAGTTCCCAAAGGCAGGTTGGATTTGGAAGCAGGTGAAAGCCTGCGATGATTCCAGATCTCTGGGTCTGGTGGGTAACAGCTCAGCAGGCAGGTCTGAGTGTGCTGTTAGGCTACACTCCCAGGCCTGCACACGGCAGGTACTTTGGAGTGAATGCCATGTGGGGTCTGGTTCTGCCACTTCTGAGGTACATTCCTGTGGCCTTCTCCACTTGGTAACCTGTAACCCACATTCACCTCATGTTTGTTGAGTGAATGAATACACAAAGGAAGTTATGGGGTGAGAAGAACCATCCTGTTCAGAGGTTTCCAACCCTAAGGCACATTTCAACCACCCACATGGCTTTCAAAAAAACAAACCAAAACAGAAGAGTGTGGAACCACAATCAAACCACAACTTACCAGGGTACAGCCCAACCTTGAATACTTTTTAAAAATTATCTAATTTTATTATTATTTTAAATTTGCTATAGGGCATGTGCACTCACCAGAGAGATAAACAGAGAGAGAGAGAAAGCAAACCACTAGGTCCAGGCCTCAAATAGCAGTCAGCCATGTGGGAGTCCAATGCCTTAACACCATGCCACCTGCTGGCCCAAAGCTTAAATACTTTTAACAATTATAAGGCACAGCCAGAGCTGAGAATGACTGATTTAGCTAACGGATGGCAGAAACGGATTCTCACACTACTTACTCTGCACCAGCACCTACAGTGGACACTGGTAACCAACCTCAGGTCTCAGGAGTCCTGATTGAGCTCAGCTGAGTTGAGTTGTGGGAGGAGCTGCAGGGGGCAGCACGGCAGGCCACTCTGCCAGCAGAGACCCCGACCTGCCTGCACCGCCAGTCCCTAGCAGAAGCGCCTCTCCAAGCAAGGACTGCTCGAGTGTTCACCTATCACGCACACCAGCGATGTAGGGAAGCTTCCCAGCAGCCTTTGCTTTGCGTGGGGTACTGCCCGTCCGTTCCTGACGTGATCCCATCATGCTCCGGGCACCGAGCCTCCTCAGCTGGCTCCCCCACACCCAGGCATACCAGGCTGTTCACCTGACATGCGGCAGACCTGCATCGTGCAGTGTGTGGTGGGGGTGGCTGGTTCTTCTCCCCCTCCCAGGTCAAGGGTCCCTGTTATTTTCTCTCCCACTCCCCAGACCCCCATGGGCCTCACACTCTGCCCACCCTCTGTAATGAGGGTATCACCACCTCATCCTAGTGGAAACAAAAGCTCACACACCCCATGGACCCAGAGAAAGTGAGATCAACCAGTGTTCTGGGCCTGCCACACCTGCCATTACCAGGGCTCCCTCTCCTAGAAGCAGAGCCAATCCCAGCCTCTGGGTCAAGCTCGCCTTGAGGACGCATGCCCTCCCCACAGAGGTCCCTGCAGGGCGAAGCGGGCAGCAGAGGTGAGGAGGAAGAGAGACTCATGCGAAAGTGTTGCTTTTTATTTTCTTTCTTGGGCCAGCTGCAGCTTCCGATGGACAAAACCTCGAAGCATGAGGAAAGGAGCAGGCAGGGGTGGGTCTGAGGGCGACCCTCTGAGCTCCAGGGCTGGGTCTAGATGGGCCTAACCTGGGGTCTAACCTGAGGTTGGGGCTGCAGGATAGGGTGGGAAGAGGGGGAAGAAGCCCACCCCCAGCAGTGAGGGCAAGTGTCAGCAGCTACATGAGCTCAGGGCTCGGCTGGGGGCAGAAGTGAGAGAGAAACCAGTCCCACGACTCTGCTGGTCAGGAGACGGGGGCCAGATGCTGACCCCCAGCCCCCACAGCACCCACAGCAAACAGGTCTGTACCGACATTCTGTACAGCTGGGTTTCAGGGTGGAGACGGGCACCGTTGGGGGCTTAAATAAACTGGCGGGGGGCAAGGATGTAGCGAGAATAGAGTGACTGTCCGGCCGGCAGGCCCTGGGCCCTGGTGCCCCTGAGGCGGTGCAAGCCGCCTACTGCTACTGTGGCCTGCAAGAGCCCAGCAGAGAAGGGGCGGAGGACTCGTGCCAGGCCCGGCCCAGCTCCGGAGACGGTGCCGCGGGCAGCCTAGCGCAGGTCCTCCTCGTCGCCCTGGATGGTCTTCTTGATGCGCAGCAGCAAGGTGGTGAGCCACTGGTCCAGCCGCGAGATGGAGTCGTATTCCTTCACCTGCCCGCAGGCGCCAGTCAGGGTCAGGGCGGCCTCAAACCCCGCCTCGACTCCCTCCACGTCCCCAACCCTGGAGCCGCCTCCTCTCTGAGGAGGAGCCAGGGCAGCCCTCCACCAGTCAGTCTGTGCTACCCAGGGCTCACATGTCCTCTGGGAAAAGAGCTTAGTAGCTTTAAAAAAAAAAGGTGTGGGGGGGTCCAGCTTGCTTGTTTTAGCAGTGGGCAACTCAGGGCCATCCCAGACCCAGGCAGGACACGGTGACTTCAGCCAGAGGGAGGGAGAGGAGCGGAATCAGTGGGCAGGGCCCCTCAGGGAGAACCTGCCGCCCTGCCCTGGGCTCCCCCCACCCCATCCTCACCTAGTCCCTCTTGCTCTCAGGGAGCGGAGAGGGAGCAGAGGAAGACACGACTGTCACCCTCCCAACTGCTCTCTCTGGGTCACCCTCAGACTGGTGCAAAGACCTGGGCCTTCGGGAGCAGACAGATGCAGGTCCGAGGCCCAGTTCTGCCCTCCTGGGGGCGGGGGGCCGGGCCAAGTCTCCTGACCTCCTCAGCTCCAGTGCCTTTGTTTAGAAAGTGGGGAGAACATGCCCTGCATCTCTTGGGGCTACATGCGAGGATTCTGGGGTGACTAGAGACGGAAATTCACAGCAGGAGCTTGGGGTCACAAGCAAGAAAGGGTGAATTTCTGGGGCAGGGCAGCCTGCCTGGGGGCCCATCTCCTTGGTGGGCCCTGGCGGCCGTGCAGGCCACTCACCGACTCAGTGTAGCTGTCCACATTCTGCTCCTCGTGGGCTTCCAACAACTTCTGCAAGCAAATGTAGGCAAGGGTCAGGGCCCGGCTGGCCTGAGGCCTGGTCAGTATCAGAGCCGGGTACAAGCCAGCTGGGTGGTATTGCTTGGGGTGAAGGGACCCCAGGCTGAGAGGAGGAAAGGCGCGGGACCAATCCCACGGGTTGGCCTCAGAAATGGCTCGCTCCTGCTCTTGGCAACCTCACTGACAGCACCACAGGGCGTGTGGGGGTACGTGCACGGCGTGCATGTGTGTCATCACCCAGTCTCCCAACCCTGTCCCTACTGCCATCAACACCATTTCCATCTAGAAAATGGAGACCTGTGTGGCAAAGAAAATGAAAACAGGGACCCTACTGAGGACCACCAGACGAAGCTTGGTAATGACCCCACCTGGAGCCCGAACCTCTAGACTGGCCATCCTGGGGCTCAGCCAGCCTCTGGATCGGGGAAGGGCATGTCCACACCCAGCACTCACTTTCATCAGCTTGCATTCCCGGGAATCAGAGAACGCTGGGAACAGTTCCTCGTACTTCTGGACAGCGAGCTGAGGAGCAAGGAGGGAGCGGTAAGACAGGGGCCTCAGAGCCATGGCCTGGCCGAGAGCACCTGGGGACAGCTGGCAGCCCTGAGTCAGCGCTTGCACCCTCCCCCGCCTGAGGTGCCCCCTGGCTCCATGCCTGGTGATAGCTCCAGAGCTGAGCTCAGTGCCAGCCTGGCTGCAGAGGATGCAAGGGAGGTGGCCGAGGGGGAAGGGGAGGAGGGAGGGCTTCCCCAACAAGCAGCGCTGCCTGGCTCAGCCAGGACAGAGCATAAATATGCATCCGACCTGCCAGGCCAGGTCCGGGGCTGGGCACCTCACACCTCTGACCCAAGAGGGCCCTCAAGGTTAAGTGGTGGTGATCCGGATTTGAACGCTGAGAAACAGACACCAACAGAGGCAGTGACCTACTCAGGGCACCAGATGAGTGCTGGCCTGACAAAGCCCCCTCTGCCAGTGCCACACGGGACAGGGTGGGGACGGGCTGAGACAGGACATGAGTGGGGTGCTGGGCAGCCAGAGACACCAGGAAAGCACGGGGCTGGCTGAGCCCTACCAGGCTAGCTCGGTTAGGGTGCTCCAGCAGATTAAAGTTCAATGCCCACTCCCCACTCCTTCCTGCTGGCCAGCCCCACACTGTGGCCCTGCACTGACCCCTCTCTTGCCAAGAAGCCCTACAAATTGGGGATGGGAGCTTTAAAGTCAAGCCCCTGGAGTCACAGAGGCCTGAAATGCTGGGCTGTAGTTCCTGGCCATCGGGCCTTACACTGGGGACGCTGGTTTCAGTCTTAGCATCTTTATCTGTTAAGCGGGGCGACAATGGTGCTGACTCACAGATGCACCCATGAAGGAAAAAGCCCAGCCCTGAGCAAGCCAGGAGTTGGCTGCTTGAGTGCCTGCAGGGCCAGGCACGTAGCATCGGCACAGAAGGGACCAGAAGGAACAGGCACTTTCCCTGCGAAGGTGACCAGCAGGGATGGAGAGCAGACCCTCGTGGGGCCTGGCAGTGGCTGGCTGGCTGGTGTGGCAGGCACTGCGCAGGAAGCAGCCTGGGCTCACCTTGGCGTTGAGCATGTCGATGCAGAAGTGGCAGAGGGCGGCCTTGAAGAAGTAGTCCTTGGCGCTGTACTTGAGGAGGGGGCTGTCCATGGCGTTGGTCCCCACCTGTGGCCAGGTATGAGTTGCACTATGAGCTCAAGACAGGCAGCTGGAGGGCTGGGGCCGGCAGGAAGCTGAGTCCATGTCCTGGTGACCCAGGACTCCAAAGACAGAGAGCTAGGGCCTGGCCTGGAGAGGTTGCCACCGTGGCCATGCCCTGACCAAGGCACGATGTGGGTGTGGGTGGGGCTGAAGCCAGGTGTCTGTGGGCTTCATGAAGCACCCCAGTTAGCAGGGAGGAGGCGGCCCTGCTGTCAGGACCCACGGGAGGTTGGCACAGCAGTGGGCAGAGGGTGGCAGGCTGCGGGAGCGCAAGCAGCGGCACCCGGCCCACTCTCCCCCAGGGCCAGCTGCCTGCCTTTCTCTCGGCCCCAGCATAGCAGAGGGGAACCCTGTGACGCTCCCTTCTTCCCACTGCAGCTGAGGGACCCAACCACCCAGGCTTCCTGGAGGCTGTTTCTTCTGAGACACCTCCCTCTGGGGCTGCCCAAGAAAGGAGGAAAGGAGCCGTGGAGGGTGTGGAAGGGCACAGACATGAAGGGTGTGACACTGTGCGGGTCGTGGGTGGAGAGCGCTGAGCCAGGCTGAGCACAGGGGAAGCTGAGAGAGGGCAGGGGGCAGGGGGGAGCAGGCATCTCCAGAACGAGTTCTGGGGTGAGGGTGTGATGCCGTGAGGCCTAGGGGCCCAGCTGCACCCTCCCTGCCTGTCCCTCCCCACCTGCTCGTAGATGTCGATGGCCTTCTGATACTGCTCCAGCTGTGCGGCGTAGCCGGCCACCTTCAGCAGACACTTGTTGGCTGAGCTGTGGGGAGGGGGGAGGGAAGAGGTAGGTGGGCAGGCCCCAGGGCACCCAGGGCCAGTGGGCGGGCCAGGGCTACCTGTTGGACTCCTCGCCTTTGTAGTAGTCTGCAGACTGCTCATAGTGGGCGATGGCCTGGGGAGACAGCGGAGGGGAGCAGGGCAGGATGCAGGCCCCATGCAGCCTCAGCACCCTCCACCTGCCCGGCCAGGGACACAGTCAGCCCCCTCACCCAAGCTGTGCCATGCCCTAAGCCCACTCAGCACTTGGGTACCACGAGTTCCCGGGTGGGAGAGAGAAAGGCCCTGGCTGTCGGCCCAGGTCGGACCCTGGCTGCCTACGCACCTTCTCAATGTCCACGAGCTCCGTCTCGTAGATCTCGGCAATGGAGATGTGGTGCTTGGCCGCGATCGTGAATCGGCCCTGGGGGGAACGGGGAGGAGCCGCTTGTGACCAGTGACAGTTTACATGCCCCAGTCCTCCAGCCCCTCAGCTCGACCACGACGCTTCAGGGAGAGGAGGCAGGGGCACAGGGCAGAGAACGCAGGATTCGAACTAGACAGTGGCTGTGAGCGCTGCCTGACCCGCTGACCGGGACAGGTCGCCCCATGCCCCACCCTGTCTCCCCCTGTCCGCGAGACACAGATGGAGGAGGCCTGGAGACGACACGCGTAGAGGGTCAGGCAGAGGCCCTGGCCGTCAGGCGGCCTGTGGTGGCTTCCTAAGGCTGGGCTGCAGCAAGGCAGGGCCCTCTAGGGTGCCCTGGGGAAGGATCTGGAGAAGCCAGGACGGGGCCTCAGAGTCCTGCTGCAGGGCCGTGCACCCAGCCCTCTGAGCCCGTGCCCATCTACCTGCCTCTGCCAGCAGGCAGGCGCCTGCCCCATGCTCCGCACGCAGGGGCTGGCCATGGCCCAGGCTCAGCCAGATCACCTGGGATTTCTGTGACTCCTGTTTGTGGCCAGGTGTCCCTGGCACATTATTCCACTGTCTTTCGAGTCCCCCTTTCTACGACTCTCCAATGAGGTGGCAGCTGCCTGTGTTGTCACGATCACGACTGGGCAGAGCCTGTGTCCCTGCCTGGGAAGGTCCCACAGAGGCACCTCTGCGAGGCAACAGGAGAGCCAACAGGACCCAGTCCTGGTTTGGCACCTCATCTGTTCCCTGGCCGTGGCTCTCTGGGCTCTGCTGCCCTCTGGCTGCCCTGAGGAGCTATCAAAGGGACCCTGTACTCGTGGGGAAGGCTGAGCAAGGAGAAATGCACAGGACGTACACGCACACGCTCCAACGACCCCAACCACAAGGCCCTGCCTGCAATGAAAAGCAGGGCATTGGCCTCCTCTGTCCTCGGAGGGCTGCTCCTGAGAGCAGGGGGCCAGGAGAGCTGGGAGCCAGGAGGGAGCTGGGATGGCAGGGAGCCAGGTGGTAACGGGACCAGATTCCTCAGGTCCCCCTCCCCACCTGCTCTTGGCTGTGGAACAAGGCACAGGGCTGGGGATGCTGAGGATGCAGAGGGGAAGTGTGGGGCACTACGGAGGCGAGCACCGAGTTGGGGAGCAGGTGAGAGCCCTTACCATGTCGGTGTAGATCTCAATGGCTCTCATCAGACAGTTAATGGCCTCTGTGGAGAGAAAAAGGGAGTGGGAGAAGTGACGAGGTGCAGTCAGCCAGCAGGCCCTGAGGAGAGGCAGACATGGCAGGCACGGCCTGCAGAGAGACGGCCAGGAGCGGCTGCTGAGTTCGGGAAGTGCTGGGAGGGAAGGTGACACAGTCCCCAAACCCCAGGAAACCTGATCAGGCTGACTCACTGCTGGACACATGCTTCTAGGGGAGCCCTTCTCCCTCAGGTTGCCACGGTGCCACTTGCACCACAGAAGCCCCAGGGACAGGGCCCAGTCAGGGCAGGGTCAGGCTGATGGCCTGACTCTCATGGGAGTTTGCAGCACATCTGCTAAGGGCCTGCTCTCAAAGTACCCAGCTGCTGGCATGGGGCCACTGGGACCAGAGGCCAACGTGACATTTCAGATAGTCCTGGGGCAGCAGGGACACCCAGGTGGTTTTTTTTTTTTTTTTTTGAGGGTGTTTTGTTGGGGGGCGGGGTCAGGCTGATGGCCTGACTCTCATGGGAGTTTGCAGCACATCTGCTAAGGGCCTGCTCTCAAAGTACCCAGCTGCTGGCATGGGGCCACTGGGACCAGAGGCCAACGTGACATTTCAGATAGTCCTGGGGCAGCAGGGACACCCAGGTGGTTTTTTTTTTTTTTTTTTGAGAGGTTTTTGCTATAGGGCGCGTGCGCTCGCCAGACAGACAGAGACAGAAAACGAGAAATCACCCCCCAGGGGGGATGGTCACGCCGCAATCCCTTCTCCATTCTCCTCTTGGGATCTTGAGCACGCATGCACACACGCCCAAGCATGAGTTTTAAGCCACCAGGTCTGGGACGCGAACCGCGGTCAACTACGTGGGAGTCCAGCGACGTAGCCATTACGCTAACTGCTGGTCCCCCCCCACACCCCCGCTTTTTTTAGAGAGATTTTTGCTATAGAGTGCATTTGCTTGTCGGAGAGACAGACAAGGAGACAGAAAGCAAGAAATCATCCCCCTGAGGGATGGCCATGCTGTAATCCCTTCTCCATTCTCCTCTTGGGATTTTATGCACGCATGCACATGTTCCCGGCGTTGAGTCTTAAGCCACCGGGTACGTGACTCAAACCATGGTTGACTACATGGAAGTCCAGTGATGTAACCATTACTCCATCTGCTGGTCCCAGCAGGGACACTCAGGTTCCATCCAGGCTCTCCATAGTCGCCCAGGACTCTGGGCAGCCTGGCCTGGCCTCCCCATGTTTCTCCCCTGGTCTGAGCGGAGGTGGGCCACAGAGCATCTGCTCTCAGCCCCCTCACCTGGCTCTGTCCCCTAGGCTCCTCAAACCACAGGTTTTACCAGAAAACCAAACACACAAGGATGGCACTGGGAGGAAGACCTGGCCACTTCTGTTGTACTATCTCTTGCAAGATCTTAAACTTGGGAAAAGCTTTTATTTTTTATTTTTTTTGACAAGTTATTTGGAGGAGAGAGAGAACTGTGAGTGGGAGGCATTTTCCAGCAGACAGAAATGAGCTCCGGGGCAGGGGGTGGTTTAAACACCATTTCAGTGCATCTCAGGAGGAGAAGGGGAGGTGGGCCAGGGAGGTGAGGGGAAAGGCCAGGGGCTTGGTCAGAACACAGGTGTGGACTGAGCCTCGGCCTGCACGCGAGGCCACCGAGAAGGCAAGGCCTGGCTCCTGCTCTCAGGTGCTGTGGTCCACTGGGACAGCAAACCTACTCCCCAGAGACACCTGGACAGAGGCTTCTAGCCTCAGGCCTGGGTTTGCAGGGAGTCCACAACCTCTCCCTAAACGTGCAAAAAGTAGGTGAGCATTTCTCCGGTGAGGGGAGCCTGCAGGTTGTCTAATTCTGAAAGGTCCCTGGGAATCCAGAAAAGATTCAGTTACATTTGGAGATTGGCAGAGGACACCTGAGACAACAGGCAGAGGAAAGACAGACAAAAAAGGGGCTGAGAAGCAGAGGAGGAGAACGCACCTGTAGCCGGAACTGGTTGGGTTTTGCAATAGAGCCCAGTGGGGCGTCAACAAGGCAGTGGCGGGCTTGTTGCCACCCCAGGGTCAGCCCCCACCTGGAGGGCCTGGGCCACCACTGCTCCCTCTCCAGCCTGTCACCCCATGGTCCAGGTGATACAGGCTGCTCGGGGGAGGGGCAGCCAAAGGCACCGGCTCCAGGCGCCAAGGCGGTGGCCCTGCAGTGATAGCGGGGAAGGGAGGGTCACCCCTGGCAATGACATGGATTCATGCAGTTAAGTCCCCTTCGTGCCCATGCCTCGCTCTGGGATCCTGGTGGGAGCAGCTGTCCTGGAAAGTGGTAGGCTGCCAGTTGACACATGCATTACCACTGGGCTTATCTCGGGTCACCAGGCCCTCCGGGATGCTGGTGCAGCCTGAATAAGCAGGCCAAATCCCAGCTCCCCACCCTGGTCCCTGGGCCACAGCATGCCTGGCTGCCTCCTCTATCCACCTGGAGCTGGACAAGGGCTTCTGGTCTGACTGGCAAGGCCCAGGCTGCCCCGCCTGTGCTGCAGGCACTGCCACCAGCCTGGCCTCTAGCTCGGGCTCTGCCTCTCACTTAAACCTGCCCTGGTCACCTGATCACCCTAGGACCTGCCCCATCTCTTCCTTGGTAAAACAGGGGCAGAGTGCAGAGCTGCTGTTAGAAGTTGAGTGGGCTCAAAGCTGCCAGGTGTCTGGCACATGGCCAGCACCCGGTAACGGCAGTAGGGGAGGGCAAGTGGGGTCGGGGCACCCCGAGCCCCCAGCACACACAACTCTCAGGAGCCCCTCAGCCCCAGCACACACAGAGAGTCGGACTGGGAAACTCTAAGGAACTGAGAGCCACAGGTGTCAGCTGCCCCATGGCCACTCTCTGCAAAGTCAGAGGGCCTCAGGCCACAGCCTCTGCCCCTTGAGGGATGGGCCCTCCAGGACAGGTTCTGGAGAAGTGCTGACCAGCTCCAGCCAGCCAGGCTCCAGGGAGTGACCACCTGCTCAGGACACAAGGAAGGGGTCAGCCTGCCAGGCTCCAGGGAGTGACCACCTGCTCAGGACACAAGGAAGGTGTCAGCCTGCCCTCAGCTTAGATTCACAAGACATCCAGCCGGGGTCAGGGTGGCAGGGAGTCCAGGCTGTCCCTGTCCGGTGTCCTCATAGCCCAGATGCTGTGCTGGGCACTGCCTCATGATGCAGTCTCTGCTTCAACACACGAGGAAACAGGCTCAAAGGCCAGTGATACCTGAGGTCACGGGGGAGGCAGGGTCCTCCCAAACCTCTAAGCCCACACCTTTTCTCTCCTGCTAGGTTGCACACAGCTGCCACCACGTCCTCTGTGAGGCTTTACTGGCTCAGGACACAAAGCGATGTCAGTCCTGGGCTGGCCACGGTCTCTGACTTGGAGCTGTGGGTGGTGGTGCAGGACACAGCTCTGATGCTCTTTCCATGTGGCACCCAATGCCCAGGACAAGGCCAGGCGCTCTTCCTACAAGGCTCCTTCTCCCCATAAGCTCCCCCCAGTCAGATCCACCCCTTCCAGCCTCAGAGCCAGTATTAGTACAATGTGCCATGGTCTGGGACTCCGTGGCCACCTCCTGTGCATGATCCCAGGCCCTATCCTGTAGAGTCCTGCTGGAGTGCTAGAAAAACTCAGGTCGAATGCCAGGCAGGAGGCAGCATCTTCGCGATGGCAGTGGGTCTGTCTGGTGGGCCGCAGGGTCTGGTGAAGAAGTCATGCACAAACCGCACAGCTTGGCACTCAGCCTCACTCACAAAACAAGTCTCTCCAGTCCCTCTGGTGGAGCAGGGGCTGAACATCCCTCTCAGCTTGACCAATTTCCCAGGGGGCAGGAGGCGAGGCATGGGGCTGGGGGCAGGGAAGGGCTCGGGAAGGAAGCAGAGACTCCTCAGAGTGACTCAAGTTGAAAACAAACCCAGGGTTGCTCCTGGTCACCCTGTCACCCACACAGCCTGCTGTGGTGTGACAAACTGTCGCAAACAATCCTCTCTCAGGAAGGACAGGCCTTTTATTACAAGAGTGCACATCTTCCTTTTAAAAAATATTAATTTTCCCATTCTCGTGAGTGGATAGCGACAAAGGTCATTTCTTAAAAATGCCACTGTTGCGGGAACCAGCAGTTAGCGTAATGGCTATGTCACTGGACTCCCATGTAGTTGACTGCGGTTCGTGTCCCGGACCCGGTGGCTTAAAACTCACGCCGGGCCCGTGTGCGTGCGTGCCCAAGATCCCGAGAGGAGAATGGAGGAGAGGGGATTGCGGCGTGACAATCCCCCCTGGGGGGTGATTTCTCACTTTCTGTCTCTATGTCTCTGTCTGGCTGGCGAGCGCACGCACCCTATAGCGAAAACCTCTCCAAAAAATAAAAAAATGCCACTGTTGCTAAAAGGAAAAGTTAGTAACCTATGCCTGGTATTAAGATTTAAAAAAAAAAAAGACAGAGAGAAAATCCCCGCCCCATGGATCTGAAAGTCTGGTACCCACTGGGCTGTGCTGCACGCAGGATGAGCCCACTGGGACAAAAACTCACTGTGAGTCAGTCCCCAACTGGGCTCTGTCCCAGCATTCGCATTTTAAGTAACTTGTTCTCTGGCAACTATCTCCGAGGTTCTGCTCGCTCTGGTTTTTCCCCAGGGTGCAGGGAAGCCAGGTTAGGATAATTTCCGCTCCTTTTTCGGCAGCAACTCCTACCTGGCTGGTCTTAGCACGCCCCCCCACTCCCTTCCGCATGTTAATTCTGACAACAGAACAGATTTTCCTCTCTCCCTGGCAGGCGGTGGGTCTGAAATACAACTCCCACTCCCAAATGCTCCTGCTTGCTCTGGAGGGGAGTGATCAGCTGCAGAGACAGCAGAGGGGGGCGGAGACTTGAGCAGGATGCCAACCCTGACAGGAAGGACGGGAGCCAATTCTGAAGTTAACGCTCACTTTGCCTCAAGCGCTTCCCCAGTGGCCTATCACATGTCAGAAAAACCCAGGGCCTCACGGAAACCTGAGGCCTTCTGTGGACAGTGCTCTGGCAGCCAGTCTGGGCAGCCCAAGGAGGCCCTCACCTTGGGGGTCGGCCTTCTTGAATGCATTACCGGCATCCACGAAGCAGGTGGCTGCGTCATGCTTACTCTGGAGCTGTAGGTGCAGCTGGGCTGCCTGGCAGAAAGCGTTTCCAGCAGCTGGAACAAAAAGAGCGATGTGGCTTCAGTGGGGCGCCTCACTTTACACCACCATGCAGATCTGCGGGGGAGGAGGAAGTCTACTAGAGGGGACAGGCCTGACCTGCGTAAGCCCAGGTTGAGGCCTAGACCGCGTTTCCTGATCCCTGAGCAAGGCTCCCAGTGATTCAGCTGGCAGTCTCTGAGGGATGCCCTTGAACCCAGGCATTCAGAAAGTCAAGATGAGCCTGGTCCTCACCACCATTTCCAGGGCCACAACTTATAAAGAGAAGGCAACAGAGCCAAGAGCGGCAAAGGAAGTAAGAGCTAGGTGAAGAGGCCTCCTACACCTCCTGGCCTTGGCAGTCCTCCCTAGGAGAGCCTTAAGCCATGAGGCCTGGAACCACCAGAAGGCAAAGAGCAAGCTGAGTCATGGGGAGCTTGGGAGGGCACTTTGGGAAGGGAGAGTCAAGATGAAACTATGAGTCTCCCTTTCCAAGGCCTATTTCTTCCCCCCATAGCTCCCACAAGTTCCTGTGTAATTCCCTCTGCCTTTGTCCATTCTGTCCCTCACGCAAAGTCAGTGCAGCTACTACACTGTGGGGCTCACAGAGGCCAGGGACAATACAGGGTCTGTCCCCCCACCCCCACCCCCGGGGCTCCATGTGCAGAAAGGGAAATGGGTTGTGGACATAAGGACTTGAGTACCCTGGGAAAAGGCAGTGGAGACACAGCTGAGGCCCACTCTACCCTGTGCTCAGCAGCACAGGGTCACCTTCCACAGGTCCCTGAACTCTGTTCACATGCCTGTTTCCTCCTGAACTGATTCGTAGGAGGCAACAGAGCCCCTCCTGCCTGTGGAGCTCCAGCAGCTCAGTTCTGGGGCTCCTGCCCTTCCTTCTCCTCCAGCTCAATCACGTCACAGAATCCCTGAGCTGGAAGACCAAAGGTCTGGCCTTCATCCTCTTCGCTCCACTATGTGATTTCATTCCTATTTTTAAGAGCCCCAAATCAGAATGTAAAATTACATCGGGGGATATTATTAGAGGAAAAATGGCCTAAAATTTTGTTTGAATAGTCGGGGAGAGGGGACAAAGTTTAGGGGGAAATCACCCCCAATCTACGTGATTAAAAGATAAGCACTCAAGCCAGACGTTTGGCACAGTGGTGGCACAACTGGACCTACATGCAAGGTACCCAGCTTGCGTCGGGGGCCTCCCTCAGTCCACCAGGTGTACGCACGGGTCCACATTCCAGGATGGCAGAGGCTCGGGATGCATCACAGCATGGAGACCCCCTTGGATGTGCCTACCTCTTTTTCTCTAAGAAATAATCTTAAAAACAAAAAGAAAAGAAAAGAAAGTATTCCTTTGCTAATGATGCTTATTTAGTTTAGGAGCACAAAAATACACACAGCATCAGAAAACAATGGTGACTCTGATGCTGCCTGGGCCTCTGTACCCTGCTGCCACAGTCCCAGCCCCGTGGGATGTTTGACTTCCCCGATCCAGCCTTGGTGACACCGGAAACTGTATCACAAAACCAGCCTCAAACAGGCCCAGTGCACTGGCAGTGTGGACCTCTGGGAGCCCCGCCCTGCCATTCTCCTTGGGCAGGCTAAGGGCTTAGGCTTTTAAGTTGGAACTCTGGTTTCTAAGTCTTGGTTCTGTTACTTACTGGTTGTGGCACCCTGGGCAAGAGGTGAGCCAAGCCTTGGTTTCTGAATCTGTAAAATGGGGATATTAATGGTGCTGAGCCCCACAGCGTTCCTGTGTGTGATTGTTCAATTAAGTGATGCCTGCTTGGCACTCAGGACTCGGTAGATGGTGGCCATGATTTACGTTGTTAATAGAACTACTCGAACATCCTCCCAGCCCAGAATTCCAACTCTGATGGATACACTAAGGAACAGTTTCCAGAAAACCTGAATTTAAGAAGAAATCTCAGAGACCTCATCAATCCACAGTCTCCCTAATTGTCCCATCCTTTCTCAAGGCTCAGGACCTAAGGTGTAAGTAACCCCAGGGGCACAAAATGCCCTGAGCACAAGTCAATGGGCTTCTGACGCTGGAGTCGGCACTGGGACTAGGGTCCGCAAGGCCAGCCTCTCCTGGAGACTTTGGGACTGGAAGCAGAGGGCAAAGAGGAGAGAGACCCACGAAAGGGCCCCAGCAGCGCTCACGCACGTACCGCTCCAGTTCTTGGCCATCTTGAACATGTTTGCTGCTCTGGCATAGATTTCGCATGCTTCCTCTACTTTGGATGAGCCGCTGGGGAAAAAAAAGAAAGGGGAAAAGATAAAGAGACATCTCCTCTGGTATGAGAAAGCAAGCATTCTGCCCCAGTGCCAGGGGCTAAGATCCCCCCTACCGCCTCCACTTCCTTCGAGTCCCCCAGGCCTTGAGCCTGTGGCACCCCCTTGCATACAAAGGCACACGGATGCGGCAGAATGCCCAGGCCAGGACCTTGGTGGGCACTCACTGGGGTTGGAGGAGGAGGCTTTCTGACCTCTCCATAAGCCTTGCTTCAGAGAGCCTCTTGCACTTCCTGCTCAAGCTGCATGTGACCACTGGGTCCTTGTGGTCACACAAATTCCATTTCCCCAAAGACTGCGAAGCATTCTAGGGGATCAGTCGAGCTTCAGATGCCTGTGGCTCCCTCAATACCTTAATCCTCTGCCTTGCATACACAGTTGTGCAGTAAAGACCTCCCAACTCTATGAGTATACCGTTACCAAAGTGGAATGGGAAAGACAGAACTCAGCCACACACACACAAATGCATTCAAGGATGTATATATAAAATGTTCCCATTAGTTAGAAAAGAAAAAAGAGGGTGAGAAGAATAGAACCATACATGTTTATGTAAACACAGAATATTTCTGGACAAATACACAAAAGTTTAGTAACAGAATTTTCTGCTAAGGTGGATTTGCAGAACTGGGGCCAGGTGTAGGAGGCAGACGTAGTCACTGTACATCCCTCGTTCATACTGTCTGATTTTTTTTTACCATCTGTATGTTTTATCTCTTCAGGAAGTATACATATACGTTTTTAATTAGGATTTATGTTTGGCCCTGTAGTCAATGAACTGCATTTCTAACAATTAATCCTAAGAAACTAATCCAAAAAGTCAGAGGGATACTCAGTACAGCATTATTCAAGACGACAAAGCAACCCTCAGAAAACATATTGTGTCAGCTTTGCCTGGTAGCAGTTGGTAACAGAGGAACTGCAGTGCTGGAGGCCATGTGGCTGACCAAGGGTTCAGATCTGTAGCCCAGGCCACCCAAAACATGCTGGGTGTGCACACCCAGCTGAGCTGGAGGGCAGAGGAAGGCGACTGCGGTGTGACAAGACCCTGTCGAGGGTGCTTTTCTTTTGCTCTGTCTTGTGTATTAAGAAAAAAAAAAAAAAGATGAGCCAGCAGGTGGTGTGATAGTTAAGGTGATAGTTAAGGCACTGGACTCCCACATGGCTGACTGTAGTTCGAATTCCAGACCTGGAGGCTTGCTTTCTCTTTCTCTCTCTCTGTCTCTGGTGAGCACATGTATCCTATAGCAAATTAAAATAACAATGCTAATAAATAAAATCAAACACTTATTTTAAAAATAATTATTTAAAAAAAAAAAAAAAAGAAAAAGGAACCAGCAGTTAGCGTAATGGCTATGCCGCTGGACTCCCATGTAGTCAACCGCGGTTCGAGTCCCAGACCCAGCAGCTTAAACACACACCGGGCACGTGTGCGTGCATGCCCAAAATCCCGAGGCGAGAATGGAGGAGAAGGGGTTGCAGCATGGCTATCCCCCTGGGGGGTGATTTCTCGTTTTCTGTCTGTCTCTCGCTGTCTTTCTGGCGAGCACACGCGTCCTATAGCAAAAACTTCTCCAAAAAAAAAAAAA